GGGGCCGTGCTGACTGTCCTCTTCTCTTTCAGGTCATTTTCCTGCACGGGTTGGGAGACAACGGGTAGGTAATCGTTAGTAACAGCGAAGCGGGGTCAAAGGTTTCACGGTTGCAGAATGCCGAAGTTGTAAGCCAAAGACCGCCGGGAAATGTTTCTTGACGGTTCCGTGTCAGACACACTCTTTTGTGCTTGTCAGATGCCCGGGATTTTCCTCTGATCTTGAATTTATCATTTTTCAACTGCTGGCGTATGTTAAAGTTGAGCCTGCTCCTTGGTTGCTGCGGCTGTTGGACAGCGGAGGGGAACGCTGGGAGAGCCCCGTGCAGTTGAGGGCGTCCTCAGAGCGTTAGGGTTTCAGAGTGGGTTTTGTTAAGATAGTGGCAGCGTGAAGCATACAACGTTCTGACTGAGGAAGAAGATGATCTTGCAAAGAGAAAATCAGTTGAAGGGCAGGGTGAGCAACTCAAAGAGTTGGAGATTTAGCCAGGGCGTGGTGGTGCACGCCTATAAAATCAGCAACTGAGTAGGATCCCCAGGAGTTTGAGGCCAGCCTGGGCTACTTAGTGAGTTCCAGGCCAGCATGAATTATAAAGTGAGGCCGTGTCTCAAAAAAAAAAAAAAAAAAAAAGAATTGGAGGCTTATCAAGCAAATTGTGTTGTAACTTCAGATTATGATTTATCTTTTACTCAAGCTTTTTCTATTGAGAGGCTTTTTTGTTTTTACATCTGAATTGTGTTTATCTGTTTGAAACTTGGGTAAAATACAAATATACAAATTTTGTTAAGAATTGCAGTTGGAGGAAAAATAGAAGATAAATACATTTTGCTAAAATAGCTAAAACACTACTAAATGTTATTTAAGATGAGACATTGGGTGGGATGTGGTGGTGCAGGCTTGCTAACCCAACTAGGGGACTGAGGCAGGGGGATCTCTCTGTTTTGGGTTTTTTTTTTTTTTGGCAGGAGGATCTCTTGAGCCCAGGTGTTTGAGACCAGACTGGACAACAGAGTGAGACCATGTCTCAGAATAAATAGATGAGGGGACGTTGGACTAGATCGGTTCTCCTTCCTAAGCACCAAGCAGGACCTGACCCTGCTTGGCTTCTGATAGTAGACCAGACAGATACTTTGAAGGTTACATGGCTGGAGACATGGGCTTGATCAGGTCCCAAAGGGCTTCTTAGTTCTTCATAACTACCTTGTTTTGTGTAAAATTAGACAAAAGGTTAGACCTCTCCTGGCAATCAGCCCAGTGAGAACGACCAGCTTAGTAGTGAGTGGAAATCAAGTCATAGTAGTAGAGCCCCTGTTTTACAACAAACTTTTCCTGGTTCAGCTAATCAGGTAGACGCTCACTATCTTGTTTTTTTTTTTTTTTTGGTTTTTCTCCGGTACCGGGAACCGAACTCACGACCTTGTGCTTGCCAGGCAGGCGCTTTTGCCGCTGAGCTAAATCCC